CACCGTCTTTGCCCATGGGGTAACGTCCTTAGCACAGCAAGCAGTTAGCTTACTGGGCCACCATCTCCTTAGCCCAGGCTATACACTCCTGATGCTCCTGCCTCAGCTGGGTGCTTGGTTTGCGGGTGTGAGCCGCCAGGCCCAGAAGAACCAGACTGAAGAAATGGAGCTGAAAACAGAACAGACGCCGGGCACCAGGCTGGGCACCAGCTCTACCAGTGTCGTAGCCTGCTGCAATAGATGATACAGACATCCCCAAACTGGCCGCCTCCCGTCCCTCTTTGTAGGTGCCCTGGCTCTGTAATGACACAAGCTCTTTGGACAAGGGCAGGTCGACGTGCTGTGACCTCCATCCGGCTCAAAGGTCACTGGATTTGGCCAATACTGTTTGGCAGGATCAACCAGACTTGACACAAAGGTTATTTGTTGTTGTTTTTTGTTCGCTTGTTTAGTAGGGGATTGTTGAGATAGGCGCTCATGTAGCCCAGGAGGGCCTCAAACTAGTTACACAGCTGAGGATGACCCTGAACTCGTGACCCTCCTGCCTCTACGTTCTGAGTGCTGGGCTACAGAAAACGAGTCCCGACAGGCTCTCTGGAATGACTGTCTTTGGGAGTGTCTTTCTTACACATCACAAGAACGTTGCTCCTGGCTAGTCTGCTGGTCCCAGGAGAATGACGGCAGGCGTGCCGTGCACAGGTAGATGGATCACTCCAGCCCAGGGTACAGTGACTTGTCACAGCCAGCCTCCTCTCAAGCTTAAAGCCCAGCGGAGGACAGAGAGTTACCCACAGGGGCCTCAGGGGATCCTTAGCCTGTGAATGGAGGCTGCTGCCACATGTGGAGAGGTTTTGGGGAGGGGAGGTAGTTAGTGACCTGGAAATGAGAGACTGTCAGAGCAGAGGACCAAAACCTTAAATCTTCAGGGTGGGTTTGGGAACCAAGCCACAGAAACGTTAACTCACATTTAACAGCAAACGTCTAGCAATTAAACTTATTCAGTCAATCCGAACACTGGTAAACAGATACCCAGGCAGCTTGGCTTGGAGGGTGCTATGTTTGGTATCAGAAGAGAAGTTCACTAAACAGCCCAGTGGGTCCCAAGAAGAGCATGGAGGGAAAGGCAAAGCTCTTCCAGACATAATCTGTCGTGGGCTTCCTTGGAAGTCATCTCTTACTACCTTTTAAAAGTCTTACTTTAGTCAGACATAGTGGCGCACGCCTTTAATCCCAGCACTTGGGAGGTAGAGGCAGGTGGATCTACATGGTGAAACCTTGTTTCTACACAAACAGGACACTGAGGTTTTTACTTCTGTGCATGTATCTGTGTGTGTGTGTATACACACGAGTGTGTGTGTGCGCGTGCGTGTGTGCGCGTGTGTGTGCGTGCGTGCGTGCGTGTGTAAGCATGCAGTCCAGATGAGGGCTATGGATCCCCTGAAGCCACCTGAAGTGTGTGCTAGACTTGGGTCCTCTAGGAGAGCAGCGAGCACCCTTAACCACTGAGTCATCTCTCCAGCTAGAGAGCAGCGAGCACCCTTAACCACTGAGTCACCTCTCCAGCTAGAGAGCAGCGAGCACCCTTAACCACTGAGTCACCTCTCCAGCTAGAGAGCAGCGAGCACCCTTAACCACTGAGTCACCTCTCCAGCTAGAGAGCAGCGAGCACCCTTAACCACTGAGTCATCTCTCCAGCTTTCTATAATTTCTTATTTTTACTTTATGTGGGTTGGTATTTTGCCTGTATGTCTGTGTGAGGGTGTCAGATCTTGGAGTTACAGAGAGTTGCGAGCTGCCATGTGGGTGCTGGGAATTGAACCCGGGTCCTCTGGAAGGGCAGCCAGTACTCTTAGCTGCTGAGCTATCTCTCTAGTACCCCTCCAACTATCTTTTTAAAGTTAGACAGCAGCACGGGGACCAAGATCATGTCCAAGGTATAAGTTGGAGAAAGGGCAACACTAATGTAAGAGTCTGTCCAAACCCCCAAAGGAATAGCTGGTGCCAGTAGGCCTTCCAGTTGCCTCTGAATGTCAGAGAAAGAATGTCTATAACGGAGTCTAGAGAGAGGCAGGGTGCCTGACCCCCAACTAGTTTAAATCATACAAACACACAGGAAACTCAAAGTTTTCACCTTCTTTGGGACAGGGTTTCTCTGTGTAGCCCTGGTCATCCTGGAACTCACTGAGTAGACCAGGCTGGCCTTGAACTCTGAGACCCACCTGCCTCTGCCTCCCAAGTGCCGGGACTCAAGGTGTGCGCCACCATTCCCAATTCAGGAAACTCAAAAGTTTTAAAGGCAGACCCAGTAGCAAAAGGAAGGGCCACCAGTCTACACTAAAGCAAACCAGAAAAAGCTCCTGTGGCCTTCCCATGCCTGTGTACCCGCACACGCCCTGTCTCCGGCCTTCCCATGCCTGTGTACCCGCACACGCCCTGTCTCCGGCCTTCCCATGCCTGTGTACCCGCACACGCCCTGTCTCCGGCCTTCCCATGCGTGTGTACCCGCACACGCCCTGTCTCCGGCCTTCCCATGCCTGTGTACCCGCACACGCCCTGTCTCCGGCCTTCCCATGCCTGTGTACCCGCACACACCCTGTCTCTGGCCTTCCCATGCGTGTGTACCCGCACACGCCCTGTCTCCGGCCTTCCCATGCGTGTGTACCCGCACACGCCCTGTCTCCGGCCTTCCCATGCCTGTGTACCCGCACACCCCTTCTGTGGGCAGCAAGCAGGAGTGACAGTCCCTCCCAAGTCTTCAGAAGAGGTCCACAATGTAACTGGAAAGGATGTCCCAAGGGGGCAGGGTTATGAGCAGAGCTAGACACTACCTTCTCCAACAAAAAGGTGTCCCTCGTTCCCTGAACAAGAGACCTGGGGGGTATGCCAAGAAAGATCAGATGTGGGTAAGGCCAGTCACAGATAGGGCTTTCATCCCCCCATTCCCAAGAACAGGATTGCTGTCAACAACCAGACTTCTATCCTTTCTGACCTGAGGGGACTCACTCTATCCCTGTCTCTTGGTCTGGTCCTATGGCTGGGTGAGATTTATGGGGGCCCTGGAGACAGTGTTGATGGGAGAATATTTCTATATGTATGTTTCTCTTATTGGTTGATGAATAAAACACTGGTCAATGAGGCAGGATGACAGGCGGGACTAGGATGAGGAGAATTCTGTGAAAAGTAGGCAGAGAGGCCCGCCAGAACAGTCGCCATGTAGCCTGCCAAAGGAATAACGGGACCGGGCATTCTCAGGTAAGCCAAGACCACATGAAAATACATAGATTAAATGAACTGGGTTAACAATTAAGACAGACCCTGTCTTGTAAAACCAAAAAAAAAAAAAAAAAAAAAAAAATTAAGACAGAGCCGGCCAATAAGAAGCCCTAGTCATGGGCCAACACTTCTGTAATTAATATAAGTCCTTGTGTGTTCATTCGGGGCCAAGGGCGGCGGAGGTCCAGCTGGGACAAGGACCTCCCGTTACATGGAGTGAATGTCAGAGACGGACCTGTGGTGGGGACAAAGGTGTCTGTGACGATGTGCATGAATGGTCCTAAGTCTCCACCCGTATCCAGTCCCCACCTTTGCCACGTAATCGGGTGGTGGCCTGTCCCACGGGTGAGCTCAATTCCACCCCTGACACCAGGTACAACCTGCGACTTGCTTTAGGTGCCGATGTGTTATGTGTGGACACATGGAGCCAGAGGCTTCAGCAGCCTTCCACAGTGTTGCTTGCCTGTTCCTCCGTGGTGTTCGTGACGAAGTCAACCCGGAGCTAGCCCACAGACCTGAGAGGAGGGTCAGAGATGGACGGGGTACAGCCTGATCACCCCAGAAGAAACCAGCGCGCAGCCGCCAAGCCCACATTCAGCGGCTCCCTATCGGAGGTGGGCAGACGCCTTCTCACACGCGTGGTTAAGCTAAGCCAACAGCAACACCCGCTGACCCGAAGCACGTGAGTAATAATTGCTGCAGCACGTCATCCAGACAGGGTTGTTACGAAGCACCGTTGCTGTCCTGTTAAGGGCTGGGCACTTTTCCACTCATTAGCTTGCTGACAGACACGCCCAAAGAGACACTATTACATAATCCTTGTGACCCGCTCTGCTGTCTTTGCTGTGTGTGTATGTTTTACAGCACCGAGGATACCACCCAGGGCCCCCCCCCCGCGTGACAGGCACGTGTCATCATGGAGTCATACCGCAGCCCGTGCTGTGTGCTCGCTGATCAAGATGCTCTGTACGCATTGGTACATCATGTAAAAATTACCGAACTGGCTGTAACTCGGACGATAATTAAAACGGCATTGCTTGTATCTATTTCATGGACTACATTCCCTCAACCCCGCACATACACAGTTACGTGAAAACACACAGAAGGTGACCAACTGCTTGACAATGCTCCAGTGTCACTGGGACAAGCCCTTTCCCGTATATGAAAAGGAAGAGGCAAACAAAAGCATGGTTGACTACCCCTGCTCCTTTAAATCTGTTTGAGACGGGGTCGCCGCGCGTAGCCCAGGCTACCCTTGTACTCTGTGTGCAGCCCAGGATGACCTTGAACTCCCGATCCCTTCCTGCCTCCACCTCTTGAGCGCTGAGGTAACAGGTTCTTCACCATGGCTGGTTTATGTGGGGCTGGGGACCGAACCCGGGGATTCCCACACGTTAGGTAAGTACTCTACCACAGGAGCTACATCCCCAGCCAGAATTAAAAATGGTAACAACAACAACAATATTGCTTTTTTTTTTTTTAAGTTTAGAATTTGGAAACAGGGCTCCCTATGGCCCAGGTTAGCCTTGAGCCCCGTAAGCGGCCAAGGACGATTTGAACTCCTGGTCCTCCTTGCCCCCACCTCTCTGGCATTGGGGTTACTGGTGTGTGCCACCACAAGTGGTGCGGGGGACACAGCCCTGTGCACGCAGGGCAAGCGCTCTACCCACCAGCCACACCCCCAGGTGCCCTCTTTCCCCTCTGCCCACGGGCTGGCAGGTGCTTACCCGTGTGCGAGCGCAGGTGCACGGTGAGCTGGCTGGAGTTGCGGCTGGCGTAGGGGCAGATCTGGCACTTGAAGGGCCGCTCGTCCGAGTGGATGCGCAGGTGCTTGTTGAGGCTGCTGCTGTCGGCCGCCGCGTAGTCGCACGTCTTGCACTTGTAGGGCTTGACGCCCGTGTGGCAGCGCATGTGCGTCTTCAGCTTGTCCTTCCGGCTGAAGCACTTCCCGCACACCTCGCACTTGTGGGGTTTGTCACCTTTGGGTGCACACGCAAGCCGCGGCGGGAAACAAGATTGAGAAGTTAACGTTTACTCCTGACACCTGCGGGCGGGGACCAACCCGCAGGCCTGGGGGTGTGGTTTAGAAACCTGGGGCTTGGTGACTCGGACGCATGCGCACCGTTGCTGATTAGAATTTTCAATCTTTTTTTTCCCAAGGTGACTATTACTAACTAAAAATACACAGCAGGGGGCTGGAGAGATGGCTCAGTGGTTAAGAGCACTGACTGCTCTTCCAGAGGTCCTGAGTTCAATTCCCAGCAACCACATGGTGGCTCACAGCCACCTTGAATGAGATCTGGTGCTCTTTGCTGGCCTGTAGTTAGAAGATTGTATACATAACAAATAAATAAGAAATTAAAAAGATTAAAAAAAAAGTACACAGCAACTAAAAATAGATGAAACATTTTGTCTCGGGACAGGGATCCTTGTAGCCCAGGCTGGCCTTGAACTCCCTCCACCTCCGGTTTCTGAGAGGGTTTAAAATCAGAATGCGGTAGCCTTTCTGCTTACCTTCTGGCTGTTCCTGCCCCCTGTACTCAATGTTCCCTGAGCCTGACAGCGTCTGGTAACAATCGTCCTGTTAAGGGCTGGGCACTTTTCCACTCGAATTCAATCACCTTAATATTGATTATGTTTTTTTTTTTCTTTCTTTCTTTTTGAGACAGGCTCTCACTAGGTAGCCCTGGCTGACCTGAACTTGCTCTGTAGACCAGGCTGGCCTGGAACTCAGAGATCCACCTGTCTCTTCTTCCCATGAGTTGGGGTTAAAGGTGTGTGCTACCATACCTGACTTACCATATTTTCTTTTACTGCGTTTTTCCGATATTAAAGTATTATTTTACACTATAGACACAGACGCTCCGGAGGACACTAATGTAACATGAAAAGAGCCGTCTCCTCTATCCATTTGTTTTTTTACAGCCTTGGGCCAGAGTGGCCGGCCTTCTCCACTTGCCGCCTCCTCATCTTGGCCTGGAGGCTGTTTAGGTCTCTCTGCTAAAGCAGTTTAACCCGACCTTTGTCGCCATGTGAGCAACTGCTCACTTTTGATGTGCAGCATCCCTCTCTATTAAGCCCGCGTGTGCTGATCTTTCTCTGTGTGGGCATGTGCATGCCATGGCATGCGAGGTCAGAGGGTAACCTGCACAAGTTGGTTCTCTCCCTCTACCTGGTGAGTCTTGGGAACTGAACTCGATCATAACTTCTTCAGGCTTGTCAGCAAGCACCTTCATCCATGAGCCACCTCACCAGCCCAGTGGTGTGTGTGTGTGTGTGTGTGTGTGTGTGTGTGTGTGTGTGTGTGTGTGTGTGTGTGTAATAGAGGACAAACTAGGGCTTTGGGATTTCTAGGCAAAGTGTTCTGTGTATAACCAGGCCACAGTCTCACCTCGTTTTAATGAATGAATGAATTTTGGTGCACGTGCGTATTTTTCCTTCAATACAAAGAACCCTGCCAGTTGCTGTCTTCTTTTCCTTTTTTTTTCTTCTGAGACAGAGTCTCGTGCATCCCAGGGTGGCTTTGAACTTGCTAAGAAGCCAAACATGACCCTGAACTTCTGCCTCTGCCTGCAGAGCACTGGGAATGCAGCCATGCACCGCCACGTCTGCCGCGCTGAGGAGGATGGAACCCAGAACGCCGTGCATGTCAGGCGTGTGCTCTGTCATCTGAGCCATGTCCCCAGCCCCTCACATCGACAGATACCTCACCCTTGGACTGTCCTGTCCGGGGACTATTTTATCTCTACACAAAGCTGGGACCAGGATCCGGGACTCTCCTGCTTTTCCAGCAGATTCTGCACCACTCCCCGTTGACTTCGTATTGTTCATGCAGTCATTTCTGCCATTTCCACATCATTAAACAGCTAAGGTTGAGCGACCTGACTTTATGAATGGGTCATAAACTACTGAATCAATTCCCCAGTTGACCAGGAAAAGAATGAAGCAGACACACACACACACACACACACACACATACACACACACATACACACACACACACACATACACACACACACACACAGAGGCACAAAGTAAAGTTTAAAAATAATAAAGACATACACTTTAATGGAAATAAGAATACCGTATTTGCTTAATAAGAGATGATAAGATAATATGTCTGGAGCTGGGCATAGTGGTGCCCGCCTTTAATCCCAGCCTTTGGGAGGCAGAAGCCGGCAGAGATGTGTGAGTATGGGGCCAGCCTGGTCTGTACAGTGAGTTTTAGGACAGTAAGAGCTATGTAGCAAGGCCCCGTCTCAAAAAAAAATTGTGAGTCTGTCTTAAGCTTTATATCAGCATGCAAAAAAAATTCAGATTATTGCAGCATGGACTATAAAGGCTGGTGACTGTGAGGTATATTAGGAAGTGAGTTGTTATAAGCAGGGATTTTCACTCTTACCCTGCCTTTTTTTTTTTTTTTTTTTTTCTTTGAGACAGGATGTCTTTACATAGCCCTGGCTGTCCTGAAACTCATTATGCAGGCCAGGATGATCTTGAATCCACAGAGATCTGCCTGCCTCTGCCTCCTAAATGTTGGGAATACAGTCGTGGGTCACTACACTAGTGAGATTTTCACTCTGTACTCTGTAGATCAAGCATGTACAGAGCCCCATGCTGACACAGGGTGCCAAAGCTGATCCCCATCATGTCAGAGGAAGGTCTGGCATCTAAGAACACATCTGATGAGATGGCTCAGTGGTTAAGAGCACTGGCAGCTCTTCTGGGGGTCCTGAGTTCAGTTCCTGGCAGCCACATGGTGGCTCACAACCATCTGTAATGAGATCTGATGCCCTCTTCTGGCCTCCAGGCACACATGCAGGTAGAACATTGTATATATAATGACAAATAAATAAATTAAACAAACAACAACAACAAAAACTTCTGACAATTTCTTACAGATGATCATTTTGTTGAGCTGGGGATGTAACTCAGTTGGTGCAGCACTTGAAGGCCCAGGGTTTTTTTTCTTTTTTTTTAATTTATTTGTTTTGCTTATGTATTTATTTATTTATTATGTATACAGTATTCTGCCGACATGTATGCCTGCTGGCCAGAAGAAGGCACCAGGTCTCATTACAGATGGTTGTGAGCCACCATGTGGTTGCAGGGAATTGAACTCAGGACCTTTGGTAGAGTAGTCAGTACTCTTAACCTCTGAGCCATCTCTCCAGCCCCCGAAGGCCCAGGGTTTGATGCTCAACATTGCAAAAATAAAATCATTTCACTGAAATTGTTAACAGTCAAAATACAAATTCCCGATGGGTCATCTCTCAGCACTATCTGCTGCCTGGTGTCGCCTGTGCCCATTGGATTGTCATTCTGCACCAGGGGTATTGCCTATTGGTGGAGCAGAGGCTGGCTTTCAACAGCTCTTCTGGGCAGGAACCACATGGGGTCCCCGCCACCAACCCCAACCACCTTCCTTAAAGGTGGCCAGTAGGGACACCCTCAGGTCACCCTGCTGTGCAGCGGTGTCTTCAGAAGATGTATAGGAATGAATCTAAGATTGCTGAACCAAGCAACGGTCCATCCTCACTGTCAACTTAGTGACCTTAGACTGACCTTGTCTGTGAGGGCGTCTGTAGAGGAGTTTAACTGAACGGGCACAGCACCATCCCTGGGCTGGGGTCCTGAACTCAATAAAGAGAAAGTGAGCTGAGCATCGGCGTTCATCTCTGCCTCCTGACTGTGGTTGCCGTGCGACCAGCGACCTCAGGATCCTGCCATCATGGACTGTACCCTCAAGCCATGAGCCGAAACAAATCCATCCTTCCTTCCTTCCTTCCTTCCTTCCTTCCTTCCTTCCTTCCTTCCTTCCTTCCTTCCTTCCGTATTGCTTGGACATCTCACAACAACAATAAAGTAACTAATATGCCTTCGTTTATGCTCTGACCTAGTTTTCCCACCTGTCATGGATAAAATGAGTGCAATTTATTTGACGAAACTTTAACCCATGGAGCCCATACAGGGAGTCACTGCTTGCTTATGACAGTTAGTATTTGGGTAATTAGGATAAATCCACGTGACCCGGCAGTGTGAGGTCTAGTGGACAGGATGATGACCCCAGTGCCACTCAAGGGTCACAGACGACAACGGGTTGGCTGTTTGAGTTTCCAGAGGCTGAGGCTACGCAGCAGATGAAATACGAGAGGACCCTCCCCACTCCCTTACTTCTGCACGCTTCCTTTTTGAATTTACACCCCGTGTCACAAGACCAGGAACCTCTCAGACGTCCTCTAAAGCTACCCAGCAGCAATTCTTCCTCCACCCAAAACATCTGGAAAATGTAACAGCATACAAGCTGGCCTCTGTATCTACAGGGCCCTGTGACTGTGCATTCAGTGGCTGCAGATCAAACAACACTTGAAGCGTAAGCAATAACCACACTTGGAAGACACAGGAGTGCTGTGGGCTGGCATTCTGGCAGGAAGGGTCAGCCATCTACAGTGTGGTGGGGTATCTGGGAGGGCGAATGTGGGCGCTGTGCAGACCTTGCTTCATCTTCCCTCAGGGTGTGAACAGTCTTAGCTTCTGGCATCTTTGGGGAGAGGGGGCTCCCTGAAAGCCCTGAGGATCTAAAAGGATGACTGCATTAAGGAAATTAAAAATACCCCTACTTAATTTTCCTTTTTCTAGGCATTGATGTTTTTCTCTCTTTTGCTGGGGAAGTCTTATGTCAATAAAGCACTGTTGAGCCAATAGGGAATCTAGATAGGTGGGACTAGGAATCCAGGAGAACTCTGGGTAGGAGAAACACAAGAGAGTCAAGATGTAACGCCATGGGGGTAGGAAGCCCGGAAACTTCTCTGGTAAGAGACATACTTAGATTAACAATTATGGGGTAAATACTTAAGTCAGAGCTAGCCAGTAAGAAACAAACAAGGTCAACAGCTTCATAATTAATATAGCCTCCTGTGTGTTTATTTGGGATTGATGCGGCTCTAGAACCAGGCTGGCGGGAAAGCTTCTCTCAAGGAAAAAGCCTCTCTTTACACTCTTTAAAGATTTGATTACATTAAAAATTGTGTATGTGTGGTGTGTGTGTGTGGTGTATATGCATGTGTTTGCACTTGAGCACGGGGTTCACAAAGAGCACATGAAAGCCAGAGAACACCGTTCCAAAGTAGGCTCTCTCCTTCCACCACATGGGTCCCAGAGATTGAACTCGGGTCATCAGGCTCCTTTGCCTGCTGAGCCATCCTTCTGGCTCTGTTTTAAAACAAACCACATTATGTTCCCCTTTCAATATTGCAAAGATAACACACACTCTTCTGTGTCACAGGTCAAGAAAGCAGTTGTAAGAAAACCACTATCCTTGACCAGGTGTGGTGGTGCGTGCCTCTGCCCCCAGCGAGGCGGGGATATGGAGAACTGAAAGCAAGCCTAGGCTACATAGTGAGTTCTAGTCTAGCCTGAGCTACAGAGTGAGCTCTTCTCTAAACAATGGACATCAACAACAATTCAAATAAACAACCAAAACAAAACATGTGTAACCTCTGGTTTACTCCCCAGCACTGAAAACAAACAAACAAAACAAAGACATTCTTCTCTCTCCTTACCAATGTGACATGCACACACAGACTTTACTGGATGCCGTCTGCACCCGAGGCTAACTCACATGGCCAAGGCAGATCCGGGCCCGCTGGCTCTGTGCTCACTTTCCCCACTGCCGGGTTTTATTGCTTTAGAGATGCTTCTGCCAAAGTCACGTGTACAAACGGCATCTTTATTCCCTTTGTACCGTGTTCCTCTGACCTCTGTGAGGCTTGGGCCTTGCCATACATCCGGCATCTCTGGCTGGGCGGGTGTTCAGGGTACCCCAGCTAATGACGTGTCACTCACCCGTGTGGATCTTCAGGTGTCGCTCCATGTCCTTCATGCCGTAGGCAGTCTTGAACTGGCAGCCTGAAAAAAGCCAAGAGAAGACGCGGTTCAGCGAGAGCTGCAGCGGCAGAGGCTTGCCTCGCCACGGGCCAGCCACACAGGAGAGACACCGATGTCACACGCCAGACACAGTGCAGCGCTGCTTTGGTACAACCTCAAAACCAAAAGGAGCCAGCAGAGGGATGACACAGACTCGCAGACTCACACTTGACAACACTGGTTCTCAACCTGTGGGCTGCGACTCTGTCGGGTGTGTGTGACGTATCAGACGTTTATAGCACAGATTTCTTTTTAAAGGTTTATTTATTTATTATGTATACAGTGTTCTGTCTGCTTGTGTGCCTGCAGGCCAGAAAAGGGCACCAGATCTCATTGCAGATGGTTGTAAGCCAACACGTGGTTGCTGGGGATTGAACTCAGGACCTCTGGAAGAGCAGCCAGTACTCTTAACCTCTGAGCCACCTCTCCAGCCCTATAGAATGATTTATAACGGGAGCAGAAATTACAGTTATGAAGTAGCAGTGAGATAACTTTATGGTAGGAGTTACCACCATATGAGGAACTGCATTAAAGGGTGGCGGCGTCAGGAAGTTGAGAGCCATTGCTTTGTAACACGGCTCGCAGGCTAGAAAGACGCTGTCATGAAAATGTCAAATACTCGAGGGAAGACTAAAGATTCCTAAGAACCAGTGTACCGAGGGCTGGAGAGGGTGCAGGGGTCGGCGCACTGGCTGCTCTCCCGGAGGACCCAGGTTTGGTGCCCAGCACCCACACGGAGGCTCACAACCGCCCGTGACTCTGGTGCCAGAGGTTTCACGCCCTCTTCTGAGTCGTTGGGCACCAGGCACGCGTGGGGTATAGACTTACACGCCGGTGAAACACTCATAAATCTTAAGCAATAAAAAGAATTCACAAAGAAGCTGGGCACCGTGGCTCAGGCCTCTAATTCCAACACTGGGAGGCTGAGGCAGGAGAAGCACCAGTTCGAGGCCCACCAGAGTGGTATGGTGAATTCCAGGTCTGCCTGAGCAACAGAGTCAGGACCCAGTCTCCCTACCACCGAAACAAATCCTAAGAAGACCCCTGTCGGCCCACGCGGCGCACAGAGCCTCTTTACCCGGATAGCAGCAGCCGAGTCTCTTCTGCACAGGGACGGTGGAGGGCTTTTTGGCACGTGACTTGGCGGGGAGCGAGATCACGGTGGCTGTCTGGTTTTCGTTGCTTTCCGTGGGCAGGTAAGTTTGATAGCCATGTTCAAAGACGAATTCTGGAGCTGAAACTAAAGGGCGCAGTGCTTATTAATTTCCACAGGACAATGCGGAGTGACACCGTAACTCATTCAAGGTAATGGGGCACGAGAGAAAAGAAGAATTTCCTTGCTCATTCAAAAATCAAGTGTGCGAGTTGTAGGGACGGCTCAATGGTTAAGAGCACTGGCCGCGGGGCTGGAGAGATGGCTCAGAGGTTAAGAGCACTGACTGCTCTTCCAGAGGTCCTGAGTTCAATTCCCAGCAACCACATGGTGGCTCACAACCATCTACAATTCAATCTGGTGTCCTCTTCTGGCATGTAGACAGAACATTGTATATGTAATAAATAAATAAAATCTTAAAAAAAAAAAGAGCACTGGCCGCTCTCCCAGAGGACCTAGGTTCAATTCCCAGCTCCCACATAGAGGCTCACAACCATCTGTGACCCCAGTTCCAGGGGACAGGAGGTCCTCTTCTGGTCAGCTCTGGTACCAGGCATTCATGTGATACATAGACATACGTGGGAAAATACTCACATATATTAAAAAAAATCCTTAAAAAATTGGTTAACTTCGGTATGTGGTGGTTTTCATCTTCACTTTTTAAAAAAATATTGAAGTTAATTAAAAAAAAAAAACAAGTGGCTGGGTGTGGTGGTGTACACCTTTAATCCCAGCACCTAGGAGGCAGAAGCAGGTGGATCTCTGTGAGTTTCAGGTCAGCCTGGTCTACCTAGGGAGTACCACACAGTCAGACCTATAAATGCAGAGACCCTGTCTCAACCTTCACACTCCTAATAAAAACAAGAACTCTTGAAGGTGGTGGCAAAATGCCTTTAATTCTAGCACTTAGAGTTCAAGGCCAGCCTGGTCTACACAGTGAGTTCCAGGCAGTCAGAGCTATACCATGAGGCCTGGTCTCAACAAGCTGACCAACCGCCAACAACTACAACACAAGACATTGGGCTGGGGTTCTAAAACAAACCAAGTCTTGGGTCTTTCTGGACAGGGTCTCACATAGCACAGGCTGGCCTCCAAACCACTATGTAGCTGAGGCTGGCTTTGAACTCCTACATCCTATGAGCTGGGATTATAGGCATACACTACCATCCCTAGTTTTGGACTCCTTTTTTTGTTATTAAAGATTGATCTTATTTATTTGTGTCAGGGGCATCTGCAGACGTCAGAGGACATCCCAGCTTGTTATGTGGGTGCTGGGATCTGAACTCCTGGCCTCATGAATATAACAACAAGTACTCAAGTACTGAACCATCTAGGTAGCTCTAGCTTCAGACCTCTTGAATGAGCAATAAACATCCCTAAAACCGAAGCCATGTAGGCATTGCTAACTGCAGGGAGATGTACAAGTTACTCTCTGACGGATCTCAGAGGCCTAGAAATCCAAGACTTCTCTCAAACTCTCTTGTGAGTATGTATGTCATGGGCATCCTTGAAGTCACACTGCTACTTAGAGGTAAAAAGAGACAAAAAAACTGTAAACACAAAACAAGATGACCCCAAATGAGCTATCATTAAAAAGATAAGAGAAGTAGGTGGTCTTGCATTTTTTCTGCTGATAATTCTTCTGGTGCCTGTTTTGTGAATGGCGTTCTTGGTACAGGGCTTGTGAGGGTCTCGTCTCCTTACTAAGCTCACACTTGTCTCTGGAAGGCCTAATTCTGAGTGAAGGCAACCTATGCTCACCTGGGACAGGTAAAGTGGAGAGGTCCCACCTTTACCATTTTATTTCCAGAATACAATGACTAGAATCAACCCAGACCCGAAGAAACCCACACCATAGGCTGTTTCCCTCCAAGCCCACAGTCACAGCTAAATGAGAAACACAGCAGGCAAATCCCACCAGAGGGAGGCCACAAAATACTTCACCTCACCAGGGCAATGGTGGCTCACGTCCTTAATCCCAGCCCTTGGGAGGCAGAGACAGGCGGATCTCTGTGAGTTCAAGACCACCCTGGTCTACAGAATGAGTTCCAGGACAGCCTCCAAAGCCACAGGGAAATGCTGTCCTGAAAAAACAAAAAACTTCACCTCAGAAACCATCCAGGTCATTGAAAATGAAACCCAAGGAACTGTAACAGTCAGGAGGGATGTAAGGAGTTGTCACATACAGAGTGCGAGTGTTTTAATTGCCTGTATGTCTGTGCCTGGTACCATTACGGGTCAACTGGATCCCCTGGAATTGATATTACAGATGGTTATGAATCGCCATGTTGGTGCTGGGAATTGAACCCTTAACCACTGAGCCATCTCTCCAGCCTCTTAGGCTGGCTTGATTTTTGTCATTAAGTCATACCTTCTCATCAAGGTCCGCACCTGCATTTCTGGTCCCACAGCATCTCATTCTGGGTCCCTCACTGGGAAAAACCATTGACTTGATACGGAGTCCACCTCATCTCCACTCCTGACACCATGTGGTGAGGCATGGTTTCAGCTGAACCCCAACAATGACCTGGTGGACCCCTTAAATAATCACGAGAGGGCTGGAGAGACGGCTCAGCTGTTAAGAGCACCGGCTGCTCTGGCAGAGGATCTGGGTTCAGTTCCCGTCACCCGCGTGGCAGTTCTCAACCATTTGTAACTCCAGTTCCAGGGGTACGCACGCGGCATACACTCACAGAGGCACACACATGTGCACGTAAATAAATGACAGATAGATAAAACAACTGTGCACTCGGGAATCACTCCCAGCACAGGCTTCCTCTCCCACGATCACAACTTGCAAACGCGCTCTGATCTCAGCCCAGGTACGCTCCCCTGCATCTTTCTAGCATCCTCATGACGCCGTCACTGATTCATGTCAGGTGACACCTGGGTTCTCACAGCTTTTGGCATTTGCACAAACTCAAGTTTCCACTCTTCTCAATGAGAAAATGCCGTGGGACGTCTGGCCACTTCAAGTCAGCTGCTGGGTTCTGACAAGCACCGTCTTCACTCCAGTCCCTCCGGGCAGCCCACCTGCCTGTGCGCTCCCGGCTAGAAAAGCCATCGAGCGTTTCAGTGGGCCGCTCTGTAGGGGCTTGGAAGACTGCTGACAGCACTGCAGAGGATGGTGGCCTGGCTTGTGATGTTTCAGAGGGAAGCAAGGACTCCACCGGGCCTTGTGTGTGAAGAATTTGCCTCTGGTTAACGGGGCTGAAGAACCAGCTGTGATTAATAAGAGACCAGAACCACTACGGTGGAGCCTTTGCTTTGCTGGTTGGCCGGAGCTGAATATTTAGCAGTAACTACAAAGAGACCGGCATCACTGTGGTGAAGACTTGTGGCAAGTGTTCCCTCAGGGTCAGCACACACAGGCTGTGGTCCAGGCACGGCCAAGGTTCTACCTTGTGCCGACTGCTGAACTTAGTGGTACGGATGGGGTGATCCAAGTGGGACTGGTTTCAAAGGCATGGAAGGGTCACGGAGAGCAGCAGGGCTGGAGAGAGCTCAGGAGAGGCCACCGGGGAAAGTGCAGCCCAGCTGCAGCAGAGACGCCAGCATTTGGAGACACCAGTACCATGGGATGACCACCAAGAACAGCAGCAGGAGTGGAGCCAGCAGAGCCTAGAGGACGAGCTGTGCTTGCTGCAGTGAGCGGAGCTGGGGAAGTGACCCAAGCCCCTAGGAGGAGCCCAGAAGATGGTGAGTGGATCCCAGATAATTGGGACACTGAGTTATTTACACTGTTCAGTTTTGCTTTGTTCAGATTACGACTGTGCTCTGGTTCTTCCCTCCTGAGAGAGTACTTAATTTTGATTTTTTTTTGAGACAGAGTTTCTCAGCTATGAAGGCAGTTATGGAACTTACTCTGTAGACCAGGCTGACCTCAAACTCCCAGAGATCTGCCTGCTTCTGCCTCCTGAGTGCTGGGATTAAAGTGGTGTGCACCACCACCTAGCTTTAATTTTGATTTTTTTGGTTGTTTTATTCTCCCCCTTTCCTGAGACCAGGCAGGTTTTGAACTCACAGAGATCTGCCTGCCTCCTTTAATGCTGGGATTAAAGATGTGTGCTAGCACTATCCAGCTTATTTATTTATTTATTTATTTTTACCGGAGAGCACAGCTTATTTATTTATTTATTTTACTTTGAGATTTTATTTGAAAACCTTTGGGGATTTTTAAAGAGACTAAACTTTTAATGTGTTTGAATTTGTAAGTTATTTATGTTTTATATTGTGATATCAATATTAACAAGTCATCTTGGGGATAAATTATAAAGGAAAAGTTCTAACTGAAAAGTGATGTATTTGTGTCAAGCTGGAGTTGGAGAGTTTTATGTCAACTTGACACAAGCTAGAGTCATCAGAAAAGAGGGAGCCTCATTTGAGAAAATGTCCTATGAAACTGTAGGCAGGCCAGCAGGGCATTTTCCTAACTAGTGATTGATGGAGGAGGGTCCAACCCATTGTGGGTGGGGCCATCCCTGGGCTGGTGATCCCAGGTTCTACACCAGTGGTTCTCAACCTTCCTAACACTCATGTTGTGGAATTGTTTATGTTGCTACCGAATGAATTGTAATGTAAATATGTTTCCCAACAGTCCTAGGTGACCCCTGTGAAAGGGGTTGTGATTCACAGGTTGAGAAGCACTGTTCTATAAAACTTCAGGCTGAGCAAGCCATGAGGAGTGAGCCAGTGAGCAGCACCCCCCATGGCCTCTGCATCAGCTCCTGCCTCCTGGGTCCTGCCCTGATTGAGTTCCTATCCTCCCTTTGACAATGAGCTATGATTTGGAAACTATGAAATGGAAAAACCCTTTCCTCCCCAAGCTGCTTTGGCCAATTGTGTTTCATCACGGCAATAGTGACCCTAGCTAAGACACCGAGCCTCAGTTTACCCCCGTCAATGGGAACATCTCCATGTCCACTTTGTAAGGTTGTTACAGAACCAAAGGAGGAAATCTGGTTGTTCAGTGTTACCAGCAACTGCAGCCAATAAAACTGGACTGATCTGAACTTGGAACCCCTGGCACTAAACTCCCAACTGGATCTGGGAGAGGGGGGGCATGCTCAACATTTGTGGGACTGAGGGGTTCCTTGGGACATGGGACTAAAACCCGGCTGGCGGGGCTTGCTACTCCACAGCCATCTGAGCTGGGAGGCCGGCCCCTTTGGGGTGAGCACGGCAGGTCAGCTCACAGGGAGCTTGTAACCATCCTGAAAGGCAAACATGGGCCTCCTGAGTTGGGCTTCTGGTGGCCTTGCCCTAACTGTCCTCCTCTTCTGAGGAAAATTCCAGTTCCTCTAGGGGACACTCTACCTAGGAACCCTTCTTGGAGTCATGATTTGAACGTCTTCTCTCTCATTCCAGAGACCACTCTTTCACGATCTTGTGGCCAGGGCTCCGCTCTAAATGTCAAGATTAGAAGCAGACGGAAGCATGAGGGGTAGGCAGGCGGCACCCAGCAGGGACAGCCAGGCACAGCTGCGGTCATTCTGGGGATGACACTGATCCCATGAGAGCCATGAGGCACCCGGAGACAGAGTCACAGGCTAAAAAGAACCACTCAAGTGTGGGCTGTTAGCTTTCCCCCCCTGGGTCCTAGCCTCCTTTTATTACATTTATTCACGTGCCCATGTGTGTGCTTCTGCACGTATGGAGAGGTCCGAGGATACCCCATGGGAATTTCTTTTCTCCTTCCACTGTGCGGGCCCACAGGATTAAATTTAGGCTGTCAGGCTTGACAGCAGGTGCCTTTATCATGTTGCTGACCCTGGCTGGCTTCAGGGCCTTTTTTTTTTTTTTTTGGTCTGGGGAACGGGCCTTTTTCTTCCTGTCTCTTGGGGTGGCTGTGGGGGTTAGAGCGAGGTATGGAAACCTGCTAAGGCACTTGTCACTTTTCATGTGGCTCCTGGGCAGCAAGGGCAATATCCGGATGAGGACATAGGAGCCATCAGGAAGCATCACTGACATGGGTAGGGCTGAGGCCGAGTGAGTGACTCTCCGACTTGCCAGAGTCATGGGTCCCCCTGGGAGCTTGTTACAGTGATGCTGGAGTCTCCACCCCAGAAATCCTAATGCCTTCTGAGGTGGAGCCTGGGTGCTGGTGTGTAATAAGTTCTCCAAGGGCCCTGATCTACAGGCAGGTCTTGGGACTGACAGGTGAGGGAGTAGCCAAGTCCAAAGTGGTGGTGGTGGTGGGGCTGTGAGAGTGGGGGGGTCCAGGCAAGTGTGGCAGAGAAAAGCCAGCGGGATCCTGACCTTTGGTTGTCTTGAGAGGGGCAGCTAAGTTGGCCAGGCACTTGAGGCTAACATATCAGCTTGTCGCCACTTATCTGTTCGACTCTGCACTGGGAACAATGGCTCATGGACCCCAGCAGCCACCCCTGCCCTCTAGTGGACTATTACCAGAATTCCTGTGGCAGCGCTGGCATGAAGCTGACCAGAGCGTATCAGACTGTAGGTGGGGTATGAGACTTGGGGTCTGTCTCTGGGGCTTAGGCTGTTGTCTGAACCTTTCAGGAGATGTCTCCCTGAGCTGAGTACCAAGAGGAGACCACAGAGCGGTAGTTCCAGGCAGAGGAGCATCACCTGCCAGGGCTCTAGGGTGCTAGGAAATGGGGTTCACTGGAAACACTGCAAGGAGAAACACGTGCACCCTGGATGTACACGTGTGTAGACTATCACCTGTACACGTGTGTAGACTGTCGCCAGGTGGCACCAGCCAGGCAAAGCTGGCAAAGGCATTTCCAGCCAAAGGGACAGAGAAACAAATGGCCCAGAAGTCAGTGCGGCAAAAGCCTTCCACGGAGCCCTCAGAATCCTCTTGCATCTCTTCCTGGGGCTTTGTGATTTGAAGTCAGGAGGCTCAACTCTCTTCAGGGAGAGATGGTCACAAGGGTGAAGTACTCATTCCAGGACAGTCCTGAATCTGCCGGTTCTCCTGGGCCCTCTGCCTCCCTACAGGGCAGTCTCTCCTTGTCTAGCTGAGACACAAGCAGGTGTCACAGCAGGCCAGTTGCGAGGCAACTGCTTTTGTTTCCTTTTCCTTTCTTTCCCTCTCTCCCTCTCTCCCTGCCTCCCTCCCTCTCTCCCTCCCTCGCTCGCTTCCTCTCTCCCTCCTCCCTCCCTCTCTCCAAGGTTTCTCTGACTTAGTGGCCCTGGCTGTCCTAGACCAGGCTGGTCTCAAATTCACAGAGCTCTGCTTGCCTCTGTCTCCCGAGTGTGGAGCCCTGCCCAGCTTCCAAGTTGATCTCTAGTCTCCACATTTTCTTGACCATTTTCTTAAGGTTTAGTTTATTTCCCAATTCTAAAATCTCTCCAGACACATATTTTGTAAGCATGCCTCATCCCCGCCTGGCTGTACCTGTGATGGTCTGGGTCTCTGAACTGATGGTCCTTGTGGTGGTCTGGGTCTGGGCAGCAGGCACTGTCTCCTCCGACACAAACTGCACCGTGCTGGCAGCTGTCACTGGCGTGCTGGTCAGCTGGCAGCCGCTTTGCTTGTGGGCTACGAAGGCATCCAGGTTGCTGAACTGCTGTTTACAGATGCCACAGATGTGGATGTCTGGTGTCAGCTCTACCAGGACAGTGGTGCCTCCTGGGACTCCATGGGACAAAGGAAAAGTCTCAGATTAATTTCAGACCAACGTCATAGCAGGAAGCAGACACGGCTAGCGGATGTTTTACAAAACAGTTCTTTTGGAGCTAAGGAGATAGCCCACGAATTGCTTGCCTTGCAAGCATGAGGCCCCGAGTTCAAACCCTAGAACCTGTGTAAAAAGCTGGGTGTGGGGTGTTAAGTTTGTAATCTCAGCGAGGGGAGGAGGCAGGAGGATCTCCATGCTTGCTGGCCAGGTGGCCTAGCTTCCTTGGCAAGTTTCAGGCCTGGGAGAAACGCTGTCTCAAAACACAAGGAATGGTGTCTGAGAAAAAACATCAGAGGTTGTCCTCTGGCCTCCACACATGTGCACACACATGAGGATGTACACACCAGTGCATCCACAAACACACAACCAATAAGAAAAAAAAAAAAGACTGCCCAGCCCTTCACAGGGACCTGAGGCCATCTCCTACCCCAAAAGAAAGGTCATTATGAAAACTACCCCCATCCCAACACACATTTCCAAACGCCTTGTCACCTCAGAACCACTAGTTCACAATGATGGTCCCTAACAATGGTGTGGACTCGGTGTCCCTGACAGATGTGCAGACGCCTCCAGCACACACAGCACAAGGGGAGCAGGGAAGGCCAGCTGTGGCCTCCTCTTCCTTTAGATGCTGACACAGATGTGATGCCGGCACTTCTGCAGACACTTTATAAATGTGAGGAAAACGCTGAGACCCCCGACTCTTGTTCTCACTTTCCCGGTCCCTGAACGCAGCCCCGGAATAAATCAATTAGAATGGTATAGTTCAGGTTTCTGACACTTGTAGACTAAATTCATTCTTCACTGACAGGGGCGTCACTTTTCTCCAGCAACCAGAGACAGAGTCAGTACTGTATTGAGAGCTTCAAAAGCAGCTAACACAGTACCTGGCTCTGTGTTAGAAAGTAATGAAGCTTCAAATGGGTAGAGGGCTCACTTTGCATATCTGAGGTCCCCAGTTTAATGCCCAGCACTTCTTAAAAATGGAGTGGTGGAGGCATGAAGACCAGTAACGAAATCCCAGCCACTCCAGAGGTGCAGGCTGGAGGACTGGGTCTTAAGACCCCTCCTGGGCCTTGACCAGTGTGAAACACCTAGACCCTGTCTCAGAACAGCAAAGGAAAGCACTGTATAAACGATTGTTAAATAAGGCAACAATTGGGCTGGAAGGATGGCTTAGTAGTTAAGAGCACCGGCTGCTCTTCCAAAGGTCCTGAGTTCAGTTCCCAGCAACCACACGGTGGCTCACAACCATCTGTAATGGGATCTGATATCCTCTTCTGGCAAGATAATAATTAGTAAGTTTCAACATGAGAAATATAATTTTTATTAAATTTTTCTTTTGTGAAGTTGTAGGGATGGCTCAGTAGTTTTTACTGCCAACAGAGGATCTGATGCCCCCTTCTGACCTCCATGAGCACTTGTTCTTGGAAGCACAAACCCATCCCTATATAAATATAATTCAAATAGAAATAAAATCTTAATTTTTTTCTCTTACAATAAAACTCACACAGAATAAAATCTGGAAGAAACAGTAAGAATTAGCAGAAAAAAAACCTCAAAATCTTTCCATTTGAACCTTTCATGGACATTACAAACACATTTTCTACTATTTATGCTTAAAATTCATTTTTTCCACTGTACTGTGAGGCTAATCTTTTCCCTACATAATATCACAAGGGCATTCAAATTCTTTATACATGTACTTGTTTACAGTGGGAATATGTCACTCCATGGTATCCATGCATCAAATAATATCTATAACCAGTGAAGTTAAATACTGTAAGACCACATTTGTATGACACAGTACGTACACAATGCAATTTTCTGAAAATTATAAGCTATTTCGATTCTGTCCAGTTTCCTTCAGGACTAAGACAAGGCATTTGCATGTTGTAGTGTCATGTGGTAGTCATTCCAGAGACGGTGATGCTGGCTGTGGGGAGGGACACTTTATAAGTCGTCTTCCAGAGGGCTTTAGAAATCAACAGATAGCAGGAAGAAGGCCTTCCGACTCTGGACTGCTACAGCCAGGTGACTACAGGGACAGTCCCAGCACTAGGGAAACAATGAGAACGAAGTCATATCTGCATAGCTAGGTGTATCTTCATGGTGGAACAGTATCGGTGTCTAGGATGAAGCCGTTTCGGTACTAAGTTATGCTTCTGGTACTCACAAAAGGAACACGTTACTACAGGGACTTTTCTTAGCATCCCGAGGCAGTCACTATCAACAGTCACTTTAGCCCTGGATTCCTATCTGTAAAATGGGGGCAAACTGATAGGACCTCCCAAAGAGGAAATGAGCTAATGTCCGTAAGAAGCCCCCCCCGCCCCTCCGGCTTCCAGCAGGTCACGTGGTGGGGTTCGCTCTCTTTAAACATATCCTTAGGTGCATGGCCCTGGGAGATACTAAGACATGATGGGGTGAAGACTAGGGACACAGGGAAAACCTCTCCGTTTCATCAGCCATTCAGGGCACAGCCAGGCAAGTTTGGGAGCCAGTGGTTCCAAGAACAGAAGTTAGGAGACTGCAAACCCTGGCCTGGGCTTTTCAAACTTCCGGTGCTCCCAGCAGCCTGGGAAGACCTCAGATTCTGGCCCCACCCCCGGAAACCTGTGGGGGTGGACCCAGTAGCCCGGTTTTAAACACATGCTGGAGTTCCAGGTGGCTGCCTCCCATCCCTGGCCCATACTTTGGGAAACAAAGGCATACAGAGATACTAAGAACTTGGAGGGGATAAAAGAAAAGTTGATGTGATGTCAGGAAAATAACAGAGAACCCCAAACTCAGAGCAAGCCATTCCAGCCATCCCCCACCCGGAGTACGGGGAGAGCTTTGCAAAGCCTGTCAGCGATGCTCCAACCTGAACCACTGAGGCAGAAAGAAGTTTCCCCACCTGTCTGTCCAGGTTATTCCACTTTCTCCCCCCTTCCCCCAGCCCCTTGCACCCCAAACTGCCAGGCTGGCCTGGGAGGGTGGTGACTGTACCGAGTGGCCTCCCCAGGCCATGCCTCCCGGGGGAAGGGGTGCTGCAGGTCACCGTCGGGGATGGGGTGGTGGTGGGAGCATGCAAGGTGCACATTGCCCCGACCCCGGAGCCCTGGGCCTGTTGGCTGCTACGCCCGGCATCAGCAACATGCACTTACTTTGTACTGATCCTGAGAAGCTGTCCTCGCCGCTCACGTTCATGGCCACAGACCTGGGGTGCCGCTCCCGGGGGGGGGGCCGGCTCGTTCTACATGGTGCAAAGACTTTGCTCTCCCATTTTCCCCTCACACCCCCCCAACCCTGCCTATCTGCTCCCAACTCTGCGAGGCGGGGACGGATGTACAACTAGCGCCACTTCCGCTGCCTAGAGGGCGCTGGCCCGATGCACCCAGCTAGACCGGGAGGACCTGAGCACCGCGGAGAAGCACTCCGGGGTCTCTGTGGTCGCCTTGCGCCTTTGCGTCTTGCCCTCCTGGGGTCCCTCATTTTTCTGCAGATGTCAGGAGGATGAGCAGAGCCCGGGCCCAGGACGTCCCCCCTTGGGTAGATCCAGCCTCTTAGCACAGAGGCGGGGCCTCTGCTCTGCTTGGGGCTGAACCGGGTGGATGAGATGGCTTAGCGGGGGTCAGGGCACAGGTCTCCAAGCTTGACTTCCTGCCATTTCTGGGACAGACTCAAGCATATACTAAATACATGTTTTTTTTTAAAAAAGAGGAGAAATTAATGATGGTGTGGAAGGGAGAAGTCAATGGGGCCCCCATTCTATGGGACTTCAACTTCATCCTGTATGGAGACAGCCTGGAGGGCTTGTTAGAATTGCTTGGGGAGGGAGCCTGGAGAGAAGGGCGAGAGGTTAAGAACTTGTGTTACCTTTGCAGAGGACCAGTGTTCTGGTCCCAGCACCCACATTGGGTGACCCACAAGTCTCTTCAACTTCAGCTTAGGGGATCCAACATCCTTGTCTGACCTCAGTGGGTAATGTACTGCGTATAAGAGGGGTGGTGGAGGCCGGGTGTTGGTGGCGCACGCCTTTAATCCCAGCACTCGGGAGGCAGACCAGCCTGGACTACCAAGGGAGTTCCAGGACAGCCTCCAAAGCCACAGAGAAACCCTGTCTCGAAAAAAACCAAAAAAAAAAAAAAAAAAAAAAGAGGGGTGGTGGTGGCGCTCGCCTTTAGTCCCAGCACTAGGGAGGCAGAGGCAGGTGGATCTCTGTGAGTTCAAGACCAGCTTGGTCTACAGAGTGAGTTCCAGGACAGGCTTCAAAGCCACCTAGAAACCCTGTCTCGAAAAACCAAAGCAAAACAAAACGAAAACCCCCAAAAAAACAAACAAGCAAAAAAAAAAGGCCTCTCTCTTTATGGATGCACTCTTTGTGACTTGACCTAGTGCATATAGTAGGTACCTCATACACGTGGCTGGGACCATGCGTAGCTTCTCATACACCTTCCTTTAAGATTGTGTCTATTATGTGTCAGAAACCACTGGACCTGTTCAAACGTGCCCAAGGGGGGAGTGAGGATTGAGAACAGAAAGAGGCAAAAGAGAGAAGATAGAGTCACACACTGCAGCAGCCTCAGATTCATTTTTACATAGCCTTTTATACCCAAAGCCAAAGGGGAGGGCAAAAGACTTCCTTACCACGACACAGGGGACAAACAAGTGTAATTACCTCCTTAATTCTCAAGGCATCCAGTAACCACGCCCTTTGCTAAACATTTGGCCTTGAGGAGTAAAGCATCTAGTAACCATGCCTCAGATCAAGCATCCTGTTATCTGACCTTGAGTCAGGTTTGAACTCTGACTGTAAGTCATGATGGAATGGAATCGAATCTGTGGGCTCTCCCAGTTAGGGGACCAGTGAGGTGGCCTCAGCTACTACAGGTGCTTGCTGTCCCAAGATGCAAGCCTGGGGACCCCAGTTCAAGCCCCACAACCCACATATATGAGGAAGGAAATAACTGACAAATGTACTTCCTGAGGTGGCCATTGACAGTTCTCATGTTCGAGGCTTTAAGGTAGGAGATTGGTTGATTGTCTCTGGTACCTGTGACCTTGTTTGGGTTGTGGGAAAGCTAGCGTGACTGTAACATGAAACATAAAAGAACCAGGTACAGATACTGGGATTCAAGCTTCAAGTTGAAGATCAGAGAAGCAAAGCAGCCAAGCCAGTAGCTCTCACCTCTACCCAGCTGACATGGCAGTCCTGTCCCCATGAGTCCTCCGAGGCAAAAGTTCCTGCCTCCTCCTCCTTTTATTCCTCTCTGGCTTTGGAAGGTGGATGGATGGAGACGTGAATACACAGTATGAAGGCTGCTATGGTCTGAAGGTTTGAATATGAAGTCTCTCAAGCCCCTCCCCCCCTCCTCCCCTCACATTTTGAGCGCTTGGTCCCCAATTTGGCCCTGACTAGTGTTATTATTGTGGCACAATTTCTAATTGTTCTTAATAATAAAAGCTCAGAATCAGATATTGGCGTTAATGCTGAAGATCAGAGAAGCAAAGCAGCCAGCCACTAGAGATTCTCATCTCTACCAATGCTCAACCAAAGGGGGTGATCCCGTCCTCAGACTGCTCAGACCAAAGGGGGTGATCCCGTCCTCAGACTGCTCAGACCAAAGGGGGTGATCCCGTCCTCAGACTGCTCAGACCAAAGGGGGTGATCCCATCCTCAGACTGCTCAGACTCACTGCTCCTCAGACTGCTCAGACTCACTGCTCCTCAGACTGCTCAGACTCACTGCTCCTCAGACTGCTTGAGCTCCTATCTCCTCCTGCTTTATGTTCCTCTCTGCACCCAGCCATCCCTTCCTGTCTCCACCTCCCTAGTGCTGGGATCAAAGGCATGAGCCCTGCTTCCCTTTTAGACTGATTCACTCTCATGTAGCCCAGGGTGGCCTTGAACTCACAGAGATCCATCTGCCTCTGTCTTCTGAGTCCTGGGATTAAAAGTGTGTGCCACAACTTCCTGGCCTCTAGTGGCTTAGCTCGGCACTCTGATCTTCGATCAAGCTTCACTCACAAACAAAATATCACCACATATTATTTTGGGAGATTGTGGACCCTGTGGAAAATGAGGCCTAGTTGCCGCTAGGGGTAGACCTCTCAGATGGTGCTACACTGCCAGGCTCCTGTAGTCCTGCCTCTGTGGAAAGAGAACCAGAGTGGACCTACCATACCTTCCCCACCATGACAGACGAAACCCTCCGTAATCCTGAGAGGAACAGTCTTCTCCAGGAAGTTGCTTCTCTGGGGCATTCTGTCACAGCAATGGGAGCATCAACCAATGTAACAACTAAGGAAGCAAACCTTTGTTCTGGGGAGGTGTGTTTCCCTTCTCCGTAAAGAGCAAAACTGCAATAGGACAGCATGGGAATATCAGAGAGTCCATTTAAAGTTGATCACAGCTGCTGTTCTCAGGGTTAAATAAATTAATTTGAATTTTATTACTTTTTTATGTGTATGAGTGTTTGGCCTGCACATATGTCTGTGCACCACAGGCATGCTCAGGGAGTCCAGAAGAGGGCTTTTAATGTCAGAGCCCCTGGAACTAGAACTACAGATGGTTGTGAGCCATTGTGTGGATGCTGGGAATCGAATCCGTGTCTTCTGCAAGAGTAACCAGGATTCTTCACCACCGAGATGGCTCGGCTGTTAAAAATAGTTGCTGTTTTCAAACTCCCCATGTTTGTCCAGATACAGGCTAACAGTGGTGGCTAGCTGTGGCCAAATGATGGTCACAGGTTCAATGCTCAGTCGGCCATGGCTGGTGAGCATCTGGGGAGTGGTGACCTCTGCTCGTGAGCATCTGGGGGGTGGTGACCTCTGCTCGGCTCTGCATCTTGGGGAGCCCATGCTCATCTCTGCGGCCCAGGCTTTCGGCTTCCAGCTGTGTATGTCTCGTGGGGAGAGAGGAGAAGCCTGAGGGTTGGTCTCCATGGCTGTGTCTCCCCGTGAAGTCTGGGATGGGCCCATTTGTAGTTCACAGTGGCCTCACTTCTGCCAGGTGACACTGGTCACTCTGAGAACACCACCCTCTCCCTTTATCTCCATTTCCCTTCCTTTCTAGGGGAGAGAGGACAGTGGCTTCCGGGTGTCATTTACTTCTGGGTTGTCCTGTCACATTGTCACTAGGTATCAGTTCTCAGCCTTCTGATGACTGCCACTCTCTGGGTGGCTTCTTTTCCCTCCCAGACCCTCAGGGACACAGTTGGAGGAGGCCGTGGCTTTTTCCTTTTTTTTTTTTTTTTTTTGCATCTAGATCATGCCACAGATGTTTTTGCCTGGATGGGTACCTCACACTCTCCCAGGGAGCTTGCTGAGGCCACACATGTTTGGGTGCCACCCAGATGTGCTGGAACGGAACATCAGGGCCTGCCATCCAGGCATGTAACAGAGCAGAGATATGCCCCAGGTGACTCTAGCTGGAATCTTGGACGGGGACTAAGGGGAATTTCCATTCTAAAATGGATTCTCTAGTGTTTAGCAATGGCTTGTAATCTTTTACATTAGCATAAGTGTCAGCGAAGACAGACTTGAAACTTGAAATCATGACTAAGCCCCTGGAATGGGAATGATCAAGACTGAACTTGCTGCCCACTGGATGGTGAGTGTACAACCGCTTATTTTTCTGAGAGCTGGCCTGGAGTTCTGCCTGGCACTGAACTCAGGATGACACACCTGTGGTTTCCAGTGTGTTCACCAGATGACTCTGCACAAAGCAAGCTCACACAAGCCTGCCTGTCTTTTGTAAGGCTACATGGGCATGGACATATCCAAACCTTACCTAGGGGCACGCAGTGAGAAGCAGCCTCTTCTCCAATGCTTGCCCTCTGCTCCAGTTACCCTGTGCTAACTGGGTACTAACTGGGACCCCAGATGCTCTCCAGGAATCAAACCCTGATACCAGTTTCTTAGGTGTGCCTTAAAACTCTCCTATAGATACACAAAGGTCATAGGTAAATTCGGGATGGTTGTTGTTATTTTGAGACAGGGTTTCTCTGTGTAGCTTTGGAGCCTATCCTGGACCTTGCTCTGTAGACCAGGCTGGCCTCAAACTCACAGAGAGCTACCTGCTTCTGTCTCCCTAGTGCTAGGTTAAAGGCATGCACCACCACTGCCTGGCCAGGATTTTTTTTTAAACCAAAAGGCTACAATGCAGAGATTCCCCCCTCTGGGCTTTTTTTTTTTTTTTTTTTGTATGACAATGAGACAAGGAAACCCTTCCTGGTGATTCTAGGCTTGCTTCAATGATGCAAGGAGAGTTTAGATTTCTCTCCTCATCTGTGGAGGTCAGGGGACATCTTGCAGGCTGCTTTGGGGATCCCATGATCCACCTTCTGAAGTCATAATTCCCAAGGGATCACCATACCATCCCCAAGCTTTCACACTCATCTCTCCCGACGAATTAAAGGTGTGGCCCAGGCTCCTCCTGCTTCGGCTTCTTAACACAACCTCCTAGTGTGAGCTACCACACCTGCCTACTGCTGTATGTTGCCTTCTTAAAACAGAAAAAGGAAAA